TGGCGGAGGCCTGGTTTGTGCAGGTGGGACCAATCACGGTCTCGCGAACTATTCATATGCGGGTTCGCGCCTACCTAGTTCAGACGTGGGCTTCGCCCTATTGGTTACGGTACCGGACTTTCGAGCGACAGGTTTGGAGTTCGCAATCAGCAAGCGGCGATGGAGCAAAGAAGCGCGACAGGCGGAGACTGAGGGGTCAAGGGTTTAAGTGACTATCCCGCTTGGTTTTACCGGACGGGCCCAAACCTGGGTTCGACTGGCAAAACCAAGAGGGCGTCGGCAGATCCTCGTCCTCTTCAACTCTATTATTTTTATTTTTATTATTTTTATTTATTTATTTTTTTTTACTTTTCTTCGTTTTTCCGTCCATTGACCAGGCCGGAAACTGGCTCCGGGACTAACGGCGAAGAATTACCGCAAGGGCGGATGAAAGAGTGCTTGGAATTGCTGACCAAGGAGCGGATGGAGGCAAGTCGTGCACCCGCACCTGAACAGGGGCGGACGGCGACTCTGTCGCCACCTTCGTTGACCCTGAACTGAGGGATGAGTGACAGTATGGGCCGCGGTAACCAACATTACAGAGGGAGCTATTAAAACCCCCACGAGTGGCCGCCACGGCAGTCGAGGACCTTGAGCACGCGCCTCTTTCGGCGGGCCCGTTCGGGTTCCTGTGTGTTCGGGATGTTGACAAAATTCCTCTATCCTCCCTGTTTTGAAAGTACAGAGACGGGGCCAACGTGCAGGTGAGCCTGTGGGTGCAAAGCCCTCGAAGCAGCGGGAGCCTGAGTGGCAAGGATCTCCTGCAGATGCACCGTCCGCTAGCCAGGATCTGTTGCTGGAAGGCTTGAGTGCGAACAGGCCTGTGGGACCAGCACAAGTAGGCCAAGCACGACTGGTACACCCGCAGGCTGTCACAAAACAGGCCTGTGGGACCAGCACCCGTAGGCCAAGCACGGTTGGTACCCCCGCAGGCTGTCACAAAACAGGCCTGTGGGACCAGCACCCGTAGGCCAAGCACGGCTGGTACACCCGCAGGTTGTCACGAAACAGGCCCGTGGGACCAGCACCCGTAGGCCAAGCACGGCTGGTACACCCGCAGGCTATCACAAAACAGGTCTGTGGGACCAGCACCTGTAGGCCAAACATGGCTGGTACACCCGCAGGCTGTCACAAAACAGACCTGTGGGACCAACACCCGTAGGCCAAGCTCGGTGGTACGCCCACGAACTGTTGAAAAACAGGTCTGTGGGAACAGTGCCACTGGGCCTAGCTCAGTTGGTACCCCCGCAGACTGTTGAAAAACAGGCCTGTGGGACTTGCACCCGTAGGCCAAGCTCAGTGGTATGCCTACGAACTGTTGAAAAACAGGTCCATGGGAACAGTGCCACTAGGCCTGGCCCTACTGGTACACCCATGAGTTGTTGAAATACAGACTCAAAGTTCAAATTCAGAGGCGCTTAGGATGAGCATAATTCGGACAGGGCAGTGTGAAGGTGATCTCTCAAGACCATCAGGCCCGTCACCCCCTTTCCTGAGAAAAATGAGGTGCGGCTGGATTCGGTCGAGATAGTGGTTGAATACATTTAGAAACAGTTATAGTGTGGGTGGGCCCCTGAGTCTGTTTTTGGGAGTTGCCTTTTTATTTATTTATTTATTTATTTATTTTTCTCTTTTCTGAATGTATGTAGGTGACAGAACAGACTAGGCACAGCGTGATGGG